ATTTTTCTGGCTGAGCTGGCTTTGAACTGTGATCCTCAGATCTCAGCCTCCTGACTAGCTAGGATTACAGGTGTAGGCCACTACTGCCTGGCTGAGGGTGTTTTGTTTTTGTTTTTTAAACTATTTTCAAAATAAAACACAGAACAAGCCAGACGCCAGTGGCTCACGCCTGTAATCCTAGCTACTCAGAAGGTTCAAAGCCGGCCCAGGCAGGAAAGTCCAGGAGACTCTTACCACCGAAAGTGGTGCTGTGGCTCAAGTGGTAGAGTGCTCGCCTTGAGCTGAAGAGCTGAGGGACAGAATCCAGGCCCAGAGTTCAAGCCCCACGACCAACCAAAACAAAAAACAAACACAGAACAAGGTAAAAGAGGGACATACAGGGCTAGGAAGGTGGCTCAGTGGTAGAGCGCTTGCCTCCCATGGATGAGGTCCTGGGTTCGATTCCTCAGCACCACATAAGCAGAAAAAGCTGGAAGTGGTGCTGGGGCCCAAGTGGTAGAGCATTAACCTTGAGCTGAAGAGCTGAGGGACAGTGCCCAGGCCCAGAGTTCAGGTCCCACGACCAACAAAAAAAAAGAGGGACAAACAGACATGGTGGGTGTTTATATGTACTCCAAATCTTTTCTAACATGTATGAGTGCTGGCAGAAAATATTCCAGTACTTAAGTCCCTTCTCCAGACAAGTAAACATTGACTCTAGAACATCAGGTCTTGACAGTGAAATGAGCTGCAGTGACCTGATGGCCTTTCAAAGCTGGGCCACTGCTCACTCCCACTGAGATTTTCATCCAGGGCAAGCTGGACACAAGTTCACCCAGTTCTAGGCTACACACTTGCAGTCACTTCGGACACTTTCTAAAGGGATGCTTGTGCCTGGCCTTTTCCCCTGGGGAATCCTAATTTAGACAGCCTAGGGCAAATCTAATGTACCTACAGATGAAACCATCTCCTCTTTAGGCCCGGGACTGTATATGCTGTACAGAGCATGTACTGTGTATGCTGTGCAGAGCATGCTGTAAGACTGCCAATGAATGAAAAGAATGAAAGAAAACTAGTATGGGATTGATTTGAGCATGTCAGCAATAGGTATGAGACTCAGGTGACTGACTATTAGGATACATCTTTTCAAAGTGCTCATTACTCTTAACAAACAGAAAATTTCTTATCACCTTCATCATATGAGACAAACTGACATCCTTTCCTTCCTGAAGTGACACAGTGAGAAAGCGTGGGATGATGAACCTTAATCCTCTGTAGGCAGGCAATCCAAAGGTAAGGTGCGTCCTATAACCCACTGGCATGGAAGTTTCAAAAAATGTAATGCCATTCAAAAGGGAGCCCTACTGTATTGTTTTTTGTTTTGTTTTAGTAGCAATTGTAAATGATCTTTAATGAAATGACAATTTCTTTTTTTTTTTAATTGTGAAAATCCCTACTGTATTGTTGGTGGGAGTGTAAACTTGTTCAACCACTTTGGGAAGCAGTATGGAGGTTCCTCAAAAGACTCCACATAGAGCTTCCCTATGACCCAGCAATCTCACTTCTAGGCATTTACCCAAACAATCACAAACAATGCCATACTAAAGCTACTACGTTTATTGCAGCATTATTCACCATAGCTAAGATATGGAACCAACCCAGATGCCTCCTAGTAGATGAATGCATCAAGAAAATGTGGTATGTATGTATGTGTGTGTGCATGTGCATGCTTGATAGGAAATGGACTCATTCATTACCTTGCTCATGTAACTGTAACCCCTCTGTACAGTATCTTTACAATAAAAAAATTTATTTAAATAAAAAAAATGTCATTATAAAGGAAGGGAAGTCCAGAGGCTGGTGGCTCATACCTGCAATCCTAGCTACTCAGGAGGCTGAGATCTGAGGATCATGGTTCAAAGTCAGCCCAGGCAGGAAAAGCCGTGAAACTCTTATCTCCAGTAAACCACCAGAAAACCAAAGTGGTGGTATGACTTTAGTGGTAGAGCACTAGCCTTGAGCTGAAGAGCTGACAGCGCTCAGACCCAGAGTTCAAGCCCTATAACTGACAAAAAAAAAAAAAGAGGAGGGTGGGAGAATGGGGCTAGAGTACTGTTATAGATTTTTAAAAAGGAGTCTAACTCAGTAAGTATATGGTCCTTGATGGGCTTATTGGAAGTATACAACTATACAGGGCATTTTGGGAATGATAGCACTTAAAGGTAGACAACATGGGAAGCTGATATTGTGTTGAATTTCCTGACAGTAATGACACTGTGGTTATACAGGTGAACATTCTTGAGGGAAAAAGTTCAAAAGACGACAATATTCCTGTTAATGATCATCTTTCATAATTGAAAACATATGTAATTATAAAAGACAGATGTTCCAGAATGTTCTACAAGGATACACCTGTAATGGGAGAGGCTTTGCTGACTGGAGCTGGTCATCAGTAGGAGTGAGAAGGGGTAGAAAGGAAGAGAAATGATTAAAGGGACACTTCAATACACAAAGAAGTGTGAGCAGCACAGCAGTTAAGTGATCTGTCCAGAGTAGCTAGCTTTGGGCAGTTAGCAGAAATGCTCATTCATTTGATTTTATCTAGAGCAATTACTTTATATGATAAACACATTGTAACTTTTAATAAAGGCCATTTAAAAGAAGTGTCATGAGCTGGGCACCAGTGGCTCACGCCTGTAATCCTAGCTACGCAGGAGGCTGAGATCTGAGGATTGCAGTTCAAAGCCAGTCTGGGCAGGAAAGTCTGTGAGACTCTTATCTCCAACTAAACACAAGAAAGCCAAAGGGGCACTGTGGCTCAAGTGGTAGAGCACTTGCCTTGAGCTGAGTAGATCAGGAACAGCACCCAGGCCCAGAGTTCAAGCCCCATGACAGACAAAAAAAAAATGTTTCATGGATATATCTGCTCTAACAACGCACATCAATCCTATGACAAATGTATCTAGTTGTTATAAACTACTGGGCATGTTAGAGTTGGTATATCTCAAGTTCCTAATTTACCCCTTCCAATTTTCATATTACTAAGCTCTGTTGTCAACAGAAATGTTTGACCCAAGTCTTCAGATGTTGGCCATCCAGTTTAAGTTTTCCCTGTGCTGGTGAGAGAACAGACCCAGCACAAACTGGAATCTGAACTTCAGTGACACAAACTCATGACTGAGCAAGGCTAGACCTGGGTTCTGGTATCAGAGCTCCTTCCTCCAGACTCCTTTAGTATAAGGGTATAAACATGGCAGCTACTTCAGACTGCCTTTACCTGTATTGGGAAGCCTCAAAAAATGTGTCATGAATCCATTCATACTTGATATTAGTTGAAATTTTGCTTTTTTAAAAAATATATTTTTGGAGAAAAAGATGTTCTGTTACTAGCCTCGGCTAGTTTCAAATTTGTGGGTGCAAGTAGTCCTCCCATCTCAGCCTCCGGAATAGCTAGGTTTATAGATGTGCGCCACTGTGCCCAATTTATAACAATGGTTTTGATGGCCATCCTCAGATTTGCTACATTTTCCAGAAACATACAGTATAAGACTAGTGAGTCAGGGGAGGATGCAGACAAAGGAAGAAACACTGCCGGAGGGTAGAAGGTCCCACCACCTACCAGCCTACCAAGCTCAAGGACTGAAAAGAGAATCCTCATTCCTGCTGAGATAAGACACAGACAATCTCATAATTGGTAGTCCATGCAGAATTGCAATGGCATTTCACTCGTATTTATTCGAGCAGTGACAAAATGGAATCCTCAATCTATTCCATTTGGATATTTCCCTGAATTGGTTTAGGATGGAAGATACTGATTGTTTTCGATTTCACTTGAATGTCTATCACCAATTATCACTGATAATGCAACTTAATTTTTGAGTTATTTTCATAATGATTACCAGTGTTAGATGTCTGCTGTGGTGCCATTATTTTCACACTGTACCTGGTCTATTTCCAGGGAAAATGTCATTTTTAAGAACAGATACAAAAATAAGATTTCTCACATAGTCCACTTCCTTACAGAATTAAAAGTTGTCTATATTTGCGTGTGTATAGGCACACACACAGAGACAGTACACACACACACACACAGAGTATTGTGCACAAAACTATCTCACGTCATAGGCTAGAAACTGTATAATCAAAACAAAACTTTTTGTCTTTTTTTTTTTTTTTTTTTTGCTGGTCCTGGAACTTGAATTCAGGGCCTAGGCACTGTCCATGAGCCTCTTTGTGCTGAAGGCTAGTGCTCTACCACTTGAGCCACAGTGCCACTTTCAGATTTTTTTGAGTAGTTTAGTGGAGATAAAAGTCTCAGACTTTCCTGCCCGTGCTAGCTTCAAACTGCAATCCTCAGATATCAGTCTCCTGAGTAGCTAGAATTATAGGTATGAGCCACCAGTGCCCAGCTTTTCTTGACTTCTTGAAGCAGTAAACTTCCAGGTGACAAAGAGGAAGGAAACCATTTTTGTTGTTTGTGAGACAGGGTTTCACTATGTAACTTGCTGGCCTAGAATTTGTGATCCTCCTGCTTCAGTTTGAGTGCTGAGATTGCAGGTGTTCGCCACTACACATAGCAAGGAGCCTTTTTAAAAACCCTTGTACTGTAACAATTAAAAGAAATTAACTTCCACTTTTATTTTTTTTAATTCTTAATACTGCAAAACAACTAAACCAATAGCAGCCAACAACAACAACCAAAAAACCCCTTTCCTCTTCCATAAAGTCACAAACATTTCAATACTTGTTGACAACCTTATCATCCAAAAGCTTCAAAACAACTCATGCTTATTACTTTCACTGAGATCAAATCACTTTCACTGGATCAAATTAAAACGTCCTATTGACAAGACCTAGAGAACACTGGCTTCAAACAAATGAGAGACCATATGAACACATGGTCCCTCATCAAGATATTTCCCTGGTAGCACCAAACATCACACTACTGGAGGGCCATAAGGCAGTGTCTGCCTGATTGGATCCCACTCAACCATATAGCAAGCAGAGGCCAGTGACCTTACCTCAAACTGTGGGTAGGGAGGAGTCATAGCTGAAGGGGGCCCTGAGGTGGGGGGTGGCATCCCTGAAGTGGGTGGGAACAGACCCAAGGCATTCAGGTTCAATCCAGGAATTAAATGTGCTTGAAGCTGCAATGGTAAAAACATCCTTTAATCTGACGATTCAAAACCTCAAAGTGAGCATTTCTAAGTGACAGCATTCCGATTACACTCTCATGGCTAACCAAGAAAAAGAACTACAATGTAGAACTAAGCAGATGTTCCATGGAATAGTACTTAGTTTACAGCTGTTTACAAATCATGGCATTTTTAATTTGTGGGGTGGTTTGCCCTCGCCCTCACTCCAATCCACAGCTGCACTGAGGTGCCTTGGGGAAAAAGAGTAGCACCCCATTTCTCACACCAGCAGCCCACCGTGCTCAGATAGAAAGAATAGTACTGTTGGCTATGGGAACCCTGTAAATTCAGACTGAAAATCTTGCATTTGAATAACAGGTACACAGAACTAGTGTACAAAGATCTTTTTTTACTCCTTGAACTGACTAGCCTAAAACAAAGTCTGGAAATTACATCCCATTTCATGTAACTACTGCAAAAAAATTTATCTTTGGAATAGACATCAGAGCCATTAAGGGAATTTTGTTTCATTTAGTAAGAGTTGAAAAAGGTGGAGAGTAGAACTGAAAGCTGGGTATTTTGGGGCTGGATCCCGACAATTCTAAAACATACGGACAAGCAGAACAAGAAGATGATGAGCATCTGGCTCTTCCCATCAGGGTTAACAATGTCACTTACTTCCGGTTTACTGTTTCATACATCAGGCCCCATGGGAAAATGTCAATTCGTTTACTTTAAAACTTAAGATGGGCTGGTTTTTTTGAAACAAGAATTTCCAAAATACCTGTTTTCAGCACCATTTGACAAATTAAAAAATGTCATGAATTGACTTTGACAAGATATGCTGCACAAAATTCTTTATCATTTAACATTCTCACATCTCTAAGTTTTATATGAGGTACTAAGTAAATTATAAACCTTTGCTGTAATTTGTTTATATAGTGCATAGCATTGTGCATGAGGTAAGCATTCTACCGCTGAGCTGCACTTCTAGACCCTAAATGTTGTTATTGTTATTATTAACATAGGGCCTTGGTTATTATTATGTTGTTGTTATCTTTAACACAGGACATTGGTAAATTTATCGTATTTGCCTTGAACTCAGAATCTACCTGACTCAGTCTCCCAAGTAGCTGGTATGGCTGGCTCTTAAACCTGCACTTCTATATTTTGGCAGTACTGTGGTTTGAACTCGGGGACTTATTATGCTTCACAGCAGGTGCTCTATATCTTAAAATCTGGTTGTCCCTTTTTGGTGCCAGTACTAGGTCTTGAATTCTGCCTGGATGCTGTCCTTGAGCTTTTGTGCTCTAGGCTAGTGCTCTACCACTTGAGCTACAGCTCTACTTCCCATTTTTTGGTGGTTAATTGGATTCGTCTTATAAATTTTCCTGCACAGTCTAACTTTGAACTTTGACCCTCCTGAGTAGCTAGGATTACAGTTATGAGCCACTGGTGCCTGGCTTCTTTAGCTTGTTTTCTCCTTAAAGGCTAGTGCTCTGCTACTTGAGCCACAGGTTTACTTGTGGCTTTTTCTGGGGGGTTGGAAACAGGAAGAGGTGGATTAATTGGACATAAGAGTCTCAGGTTTGTCTGCCCAGGCTGGCTTTGAACCACAACACTCATATCTCACCCTCCTGAGTAGCTTGGATTACAGGTGTGAGACACTGGGACCCAGAAAAACCAGTTATTTAAAAAAAAATACTTTTATATGAACTATATGTTGCAACTCTAATAAACATGCAAGATCACAACTCCATTTTATGGTGAAGCAAAGGCTTAGAGAATGAGTAAAGGGAAGAGGGCTGCAGCTCATCACTGATTGGAGTGGAATTCAAGTCCAGTTCACATGCCTGTAAAGCCCATTCTTTCTAGAGTGTCCTTTAGATGAACATAATACAGAAAGTATTCATCTTTAATTGGCAGATACAAACATCCTCACATTTAAAGAAGCCAAGGCTCAAAAGCTAAATAATTTACTAAAAATCAAGAGATAGCTAAGCCTAATAATTCTGTCTTTCCTAATACCTAAGCATACTTCATACGTTGCTAAAAATCTGTTTATGATGCTACCACTGAAAGAAATAATACAATTTAGGAAATCTTTTCACTTCAGGAAACAAAAACTTCACATTAAAACTAACGTTCATAGAAGCAATATCATTTTCATAAGACTCCCTGATTTTCTTCATGATCTCTTCCTCAGCCTTGGCACAGGTTTCAACACTGCCTTTCACTGTGATGGTACGCTCTGGGTTATACAGCGTCAATTCCTGCAATCTGTAGATTGAAAAGAGAGGGGAAATATAAAGGATAGAAATTACAGGAGGAAGATGGGTTAATAATCCACAGATGGAAAATTATAGAGCCTGGCATTATGTACAAGTGGGTGGTCCAACATGATGGGAAATAAGCTCCAAAAGATAGGAATCCAAGAACTGTAAAGTTGTGGGGGAGAAAGCCTTTCTTCTCCCCTCTTCCCCTCTCAAACATGATCAAGTTACATAGTTTAAGGCCCAGTTTAAACATGGCTTACTTCTTGGGCACTTAAAATCAAACTGTTTTCACAATTTCAGTGAATTCCACAGGAACGATGGGAAGGGATGTACCATTGTAAGGGCATAACACCTTTTAGTATGTTCCAAATCTGTACTGACCAATTCTAGGCTTAATTGGCCTTTTGTGCAGTTGCATTTCCTGGGTCACTAAACAAAGAAAATGCATGGAAATAATCCCAAAACGCAAACCAAAATCCATGCATCTAAGCATTATTTTTTTGCCGACATTTTCAGAAGTTAAAGTAGGCTGGAGGAAATAACTCAGTCTGCCTCAAGTAAAATTTTTAAATGGTTAACTGATGACCAGACTCCAAAAACATTCAATAACAACGTTCAAAAATTTCCTGCTTAACATAGATGTGCTGAAGCTTCAACATCTACTAAAACTTTTATCTGAGGAAACTTAAGGCCTAAACTGGCCAACAGCCTTGAGAGGCAAAGCAATAGAGACACTACAGTGGACAACAGTCTATAAATATACAGACTGAAAAGATAGGGCATAGTGGTAACTCCTTCACATTACTAGAATTCACACTAGGAAAATGTAGACTAACCCTGAGTCAAATGAATGACATACTAATCCTTAACTTTCTCAAATGGGTTAAAATGTACAATATAATTAACAGTATGAAGTCTAGTTGTTAGACAAAGCCCTGCCAAGCATTTTGTTTTGCAATTTTAATTACTCTTTTTCAGTTCATCCATGTCTTTCTACCTTTTTTCTGAGGGAAACTAAGAATGCCAACACTTCCTCACCATCACCAAGACAAAAGAAAAAAGTAATATTTTTATGCACATATATACATACACACAGCATTGGTGGTTTATTGGCCACCTCCAAGATGACACCCATTTCCAAGTTATTTGTAGTCCCTGCAGTAGGGATTTGTATAAATACTAGGAAAATAAGAGTGGAACTTCTAGTCATGCCTGATGACATATACCTTTAATACCAACAACCCAAGAGGCAGGATGATCTTGAGTTCAAAGCATCAAATAAAGTTACCAAGGGATGAAGAGCTTGGTAAGGCTGGGGGTGGGGGGAGGGAAGGTTGGGGTATGACTTAAATGGTTAGTGTTTTGTCTAGTGTGTACGAGGCTCTGGATTCGATCAGTAGTACTACACACACACACACACACACACACACACACACACACACACACGTAACTCCTGAGGCTTTGTCATAAAAACCATGCCAGCTTCTACCTCTCTTAAGTCATTCCTGCTGGGACAGGTAGCTCTTTGAAGAGGCCCATGTGATAAGCTGCTGAGGCTCCTACCAACAGGACTCTCAAAGCAATCTAAGATCCTGAGCATTAGTGTCTGAAGCTGAGCAATGTAGGACCACACAGCAAAGGACAGCAATGGAGGCATGGCTCAAGTGGGTAGAGCATCAGCTGTGAGCAGAAAAAATTAAGCAAGAACAGGAAGCCTGAGGCTCTCTGTTCTAATGCTTAGAATGTTAAAAAAAAAAAAAAAAAAAAAAACCATCAAGACTTGGGCTAGAAATATGAATGTAATCAGTTCTTCCTATCTCTTCTATGAGAGACCATGCTTCAGGATGAGTTGGAGTGAGTGGTGGTCTGTTTGGGAATTAACATCTAGTATGATGGTCCATGCTTGTTGAAACAGCTGTACAGAGTTTAATAGAAGACATACAATTTTAAAGCAGTGTTTATAGATTTCTGATTTAAAGGCAAGGCAGCACTTACGGAGATATCGTGATTTTAGTGTCTGTGTCTTGTTCAATTTTTTTAAGGTTTCTTCCTTCTTTGCCAATAAGACGACCTACAAAGTTATTATGTGCTAAAATCTTCAAGGGGATTTCTTCTGTGCTGTAGAGAGAAAATGGTTTAAAAAATGAGGAAAGTAAACCTACTCTTGGATAGAAAGTATTAATTTACTGAGTATTTAATGAGCTCATTTTTAAAAGTTTTTCTACCAAGCTGCCAGTGGCGAATGCCTATAACCTTAGGAGATATCAGGAGGCTGATATCTGAGGACTGTGGTTCAAAGCCAGCCCAAGCAGACAAACTCTCTCATCTCCTATCATCAAACAATACACACACACACACACACACACACACACACACACACACACACACACACACACACACACACACACTTTCCTTGATCAAATTCAGTGAGTATCTCCTTTCAGTGATAGATTCTCTTACTCACCTAAACTTCTTATATAAGAACACAATATATAAATGCAAAATAGTATAAACTTTAATGATACATACCTGGAGATATATGCATAAGAAGAAAACAAAAGAAACTCAACAGTAGTCACACATTGGGACATGGTATAAGCAAAAAGTAGATGTCACTTTACAGTTCTATACCTTTGAGAATTTCTAAGCCATAAACATAGCACGCTTTTTTTTTAAATGTCATTATGGCTATCAGCTAGTGGGCTTTTTTCATATTTTCTTCACACCAAAAATAACTGAATTGCTATCATACAGTGCCCACACGGAATTTATTACCAGAACCTAGTCAGTGGTCTCTACAAATGACGAGTGGATGATGAGGTCCTGGGCTAATGTGAGAGGCCTACTCTGGATCCTACTTGCAGTACAGTCCCTTTTATGCAATAAAGTGGCATGGAAACCAACTCTACTCCAAGTTCCTATGGAAGAGAGAGACATCATTCCCATATGTAACCCCCAAATAAATCTCCAGTTAACCTCAGCACAGAATTGGGAACTTCTTGAACTCCAACGTTCCTCTGTGTGGGGTCTGGGCAGAGGACAAGACCAGAGGTCCCACTCTCACTAAGGACTAGTATGTCCATCTCAGGTAAATTCCAGAACATTCCTGAGTTCTAAGTGGGCCCTCTGCGCCCCCCTGCCCCAGCTGCCTTCCCCTACAGCTGGACATCTCTTCCCCATTATGCCACTGGCTCCATATTCAAACATGCATGAAAATCAAATAGTAAAATATTTTAAGCGTCTTATGCCTAACACTGAATTGTCACACATTGGAATAACATTTCCCTTTGTTTTTCGATTATATTGGAATAACATTTCCCTTTTTCAATTATCCCCAAGAACTGTGTCAAAGAAACCTAAAATAGACCAACTAGAAACCTCTTTCACAGGCAAGCCCTCTTTACTCACAATTTTATATCTTGCGCTTCCTTATGCATAATCTCCAGAATAGACTTACAAGCCGCAGAGGTGCCTTCAGGGGTGGAGAGGATAGTAATGGACTTCTCGGCAGCCCCTGCATTCTCTTTACGGTGGACATCAATTCTGATCATAGGCAAACGCGGAAAGGAAAATGAGAGCTGTAAGTGTGGATTCACAACAGTGTGCAGCTACCAACTGCAAAGCCACAGGAGTTCTGGGGTAGGTGACTCACTTCCCTCAAGGACAGAAACTTGACAAGCGTCAACACTGATGACTCAGAGACAAATTTAATTCCAGGAGCATCTTTTTCAACCTGCCCTAGCTATTTGTGCTTAAAGTTAACTTTCAGATGCTCCAGAACAAACATGTCACGTCAAAGAGCCTGAGATTCAGGCTACTCAGAAATAATTAAGAGCTAGAAGGTGCACCAAGAGAACTAGAACCAGAGCCAGGCACTGGTGGCTCATGCCTGTAATCTTAGCTATTTAGGAGGCTAAGATCTGACAATCAAGGTTAGAAGCCAGCCTGGGTAAGAAAGTCCATGAGACTAGTATCTCCAAGTAACCACTAGAAAACTAGTAGTGGAACTGTGGCACCAAGCAGTGCTGAGCAAAACAAGCTTGGGGACTACCAGGCTCTGAGTTCAAGCCCCACAACCAACATTTTTTTTAAAAAGCTAAAGCTGGGGGCTGGGAAGGTGGCTCAGTGGTAGAGCGCTTGCCTTGCATGCATGAGGCCCTGGGTTCGATTCCTCAGCACCACATAAACAAAAAGAAAAAAAGCCGGAAGTGGCGCTGTGGCTCAAGTGATAGAGCGCTAGCCTTGAGCTGAAGAGTTGAGGGATAGCACCCAGGTTCATTCAGGCCCCTTGACCGGACCAAAAGAAAAAGAAAAAAGCTAGAGCTGGAATGCCACAGGGCCATGCTGTAGTCCATGTTCTGCACAGAATATCCACGGGCACGGTATATGCAGATTTCAGTCATTTACTTTTCAAGGATAAATACAAGCTTCCAAGAAATAAGTAATAAGAAATAATAAATAACAGTTCCAGTCCAGGGAACCATCTTCCTAGCCCATTTTGGAAAACCCTGTCACTGAAATTCATGTTTTTCTCCTGGTCACATGTTAACACACTCCTTCTTCAGTGTCTTTCCACCTGCCACTGTGCTACTCTGATCCCTTGAGAGAAAGGAAGGTTTTGTGTTGGTAATTAAGGTGGCCTCCTGAGACCATTCCACAAACTTAGATCCTAATAATGATTAATTCCAATGGCAAGAGTTAATTAAATCTACTGGGCAGAGCTCTGCACACAACTCATCGGATGCAACAAAAACTGCTTCCCATCTCGATCCCCCATCTTCCTGCTTTAAGTAAAACAGTACAATTTAGTTCTCAGTTCTTGTACCTGGCAAGGAAATGAGGAGCTTGAAAAGGAACAACTCTATAATCTGCCACATGGCAAAGAAGGGAAACCATGTAATAATTTTCTGCAGGTAATGGTGGATCACAGGAAGCAAGAAATTGTTAAGTTTTTCAAATTAAAGCCAGACAAACTCATTTACAGTTTGACTGTAGCTGGCCCAAGATTAACAAAATCATGTTTTATGTACACTAACAAACAATATGAATGCTTGCGGCACTCAGAGCTAGAGATAGAATGTCTATCACCTAGCTTCTTAGGATCAAAATATCCACAGACTGAACAGCAGTGTGGCTTATAAGGCAAAATATCTATAATATAGATGCAACGGAGCCTCCAAACTCAGAAATATATAAATCAAAGGTAGATGTAAGGGTTTCAAACCTCTCATGTGGTCATTTCACTTATTTGGCAAATCCAAGAAGAGCCTTCTGTGTGCCAGGCCGGCTTTAGAAATCTACAGTTCCTGGGTCTACTCCTGAAAAGTTAGCTCCAACATTTTCACAGGTCATCTAGTTGCTTAAACCTGGCAAAACTATCAAACATCACGGGGAAAAAAAAAATCCATTCCACTTTTCTACAGGGCTTCATCACAGAATAGGAACCAGCAATTTTTTTTTTTGGGGGGGGCCTGAACTCTGGGCCTGGGCACTGTCCCTCAGCTCTTCAGCTCAAGGCTAGCACTCTACCACTTGAGCCACAGCGCCACTTCCGGCTTTTTTCTTATGTGGTGCTGAGGAATCCAACCCAGGGCCTTGAGCATGCAAGTGCTCTACCACTGAGCCACCTTCCCAGCCCCCAAGAACCAGCAATTCTTTACTGAAGTAAAGCAGGACTAACCTGATGCCCCAGAGAAAACAGACTAGTCCCACAGAGCGATTTGCCAAGCACTGACTGCTGGCAGGGAGGAGGGAAGAGGCAGAGGACAACTCAGATGCGGCCCTTTTGTCTGCCAGGGCCTTTCCCAACAGGTGATCAGGTGTCATTTGCTTGCCATTCATGTGTGAAAATTTGAGGTTCCCTTTGAGGTTTATACAAAGGTGAACACTAAGATATCAAATCTCAAGCTTGGATTTTACCCCTCAACCTTCCCAAGTACTGTAATAGAGGACTCCTAACCTTCTTCACAACAAACCACACCCTGTCTAATAACACCCACCACACTCAGTAATACTCACTTAGACTGGGTCTGTTTGGTGATGTTCCGGATAGTGGCTCCTTCTTTTCCTATAATGGCTCCAACAAACTGAGTAGGAACAAGCAGGCGCAGAGGCAAGTCACAGGGTTTCTGCTTGGATGTTGATCCGGGAGACCCCTGTCGGGATGAACCCCTCTGCCCAAGTCCACGGCGCCCTCGGAGCTGCTGCGAGGCGTTCTGCTGGGCAGCCATTTCATCGGGGATGTAGGCAACTTTCAAGGTGAAGTTCTCTAACTGGAATCCATTCAGTTTGTCTAAGGCTCTGAAAGTTCACAGGGGGCGGGAAGGAAAACGGGCTGATTATGATATATCCTTACACAAAGCAGCATCCATCTGCCCCACTCAGAATTGCTAGCTCCAACAAGCACTCCAAACACATTCCCATAACCACCCTTATTTCTCCTTTGAAATTCACACTAGTAAAAAAAAGGGGGTGGGGGGGGGGGCAACAGGTTCTAACTCCTACCAATGAAAAAAAGCAAATACATAAATCTTGTTGGCCTCACCATTGAGCCCTTAGGCGAATCAGCTTAGAAATGAGAAGAATGAATGAGTACTTGTCATAGCCAGTGTTTCCAAACCAGGATGGAAAAGATACTAATTCGCCCCCTTACACAAATATTTAAAACATTTACATATCTAGTGGACAAATATCTCTAAACCATGTATAGGGGACTAATATCACTTACTACTTCAGGTAGTCAATCATTCAGTAAAATTTCAATACTTTATTACAAGCTTAACCCTGGAAAATGGTAGTCCTTTCTCTTCAGAGTTTATGATCTGAATTTTCACAATGACACAGGGAGGTAACAAACAAGAAACTTGAGAAGAGAAGGAGAGAAGGATGGACACGGCCTAGTTTTTAATCTATCCAATACATTAGGCATCTATTTGGCCCTTTTCCCCCCCATCTTTTGACTTCATTAACAGTTGTATGAAAAAGCACCCAAATCTTAGGCAAACATCTCTGAATTTTAGCAAGGTAGACCTACACACTACATCCACACCACAGAGCACCCAGCAAGGGCCTCCTTGTAGTAGTTGCCTCTCTCCCAGACTTTTGACATGAAATTTTGCCTATTTTTAAATTCCATTGAGTCTGTATAAGTATATATACATATAATGCATGTATTTACTAAGTATTCATTCTCTCATGTATGGTATCTTATTTAGTATGTTTTTAGGTTTATTCATTTTTTATTCTACCATACCCATGTATTTTACCTATTTATTTTGTCCAGTGCTAGGGCTTGAACTCAGGGCCTGGGGACTGTCCCTGAGCTTCTTTTGATCAAGGCTATCACTTTACCACTTGAGCCACTTGTGGCTTTTTGTGTATGTGATATTAAGGAATAGAACCCAGGGCTTCATGTATGCTAGGCAAGCATTCTACCACTAAGCCATATTCCCAGCCCCATACCCATATATTTTAAAAGGAGAAAAGTTAATAGTTAGGTTAGTGTATATAACCAGGACTTCAAAAATATACATAATCACTTTTAAAACATCCCCCCCTTTTATTAACTCCCTAATGATAACAAAATGGAAAAGAAGCAAAGTCCTACATCTTTCCTAGGCCCCCCAGTTTTTGCTCAGATTCTGTTCCAAAGGGCCCGAGTTCAGTCCACATAGGAAAAGAAAAAAAAGTGGCATAAAATGTGCTCTCCAGCTGTTCTGTGTTCTGGTGCCAGTTGTGTTTTTCATGTTTGTGCCTTTACTTGAAGAACTACGTTCACTTCTCCATGGAAAAGAATGTTGTGAGAGGGGAAGGATGGGAGAGAGGAAAAGGAAAGGGGAAAGGGAGAGGACGAGAGATTGGTGAGGAGAGAAATAAGAGAAGATGGTCTTTCCTAGTCTCCTACAGGACAATGAAACCATGGAATCACAATGGGCTCAGACAAGCAGCTCTGAAGGCTCATTGGCATCCTCAGGTCCAGAATTCTGCTCATGTCCCTCATTTCACTGTCCTGCCCTCCTTTCCTAACACATGAAAGAACCTACTGTCAGAGACCTCCAGCCACACAGAAATACAGAAGGAATGGGATGTTGCTCAGTCACCAACAACCCTCTGAGGCCCTTGCCAGACCTTGTTCGCTGTGACACCCTGCCAATGGGCCAGTCCTTTCCATATTTTACAAACACACAGACATGTGCAGTACCTTCTTTCAAAGTCTCATTGGGAGCCAGGCACTGGTAGCTCAGGCCATAATCCTAGCTACTCAGGAGTCTGAGATCTGAGGATTATGGTTCAAAGCCAGTCCAAGCAGGAAAATCTGTGAGACTCTTATCTTTAAATAAATAAATAAATGCTTGTGTGGGTCAAGTGGTAGAGCCCTAGCCTTGAGCAAAAAGCTCGGGTACAGTGCCCACACCTTGTGTTCAAGCCCCAGGACTAGCACCATTAAAATGTCTAATTGGGGTTATATTGCCTTGTGTTTGGCTTTCCTTCACATACAGTATGAGGCTGTTTCCATACAATTTTATGTCCAAGTGGGCTGATTACACAAGGCACATACTATTCCGCAATGACCTCATGGCAGATTTTGCCACACCGTTCTCTGCTTTTCTGCTCTTCTTTTTTGCAGTGCTTGCTACAGTTCTCTGCCACTTGAGCCATGCCTCTCGAGATCTTTTTCCTTAAGGAAATGTTGATTTAGAGCCCTAAAATAATTTATTTCTAAAGGGAACAACTGAGAAATTCTATTAATATTCATATGTGTTTATTATAGAAAGTTGGAGTTGTAAAATTTCAACCAATTAAAAAATCAAAACACCTTTTGGAAGTAGAATTTTTTCCCCAAAAAGTCTGAGTCCACACAGAAATGGAGGGACAAAAGGCAAACAAATGCAGCAGTGATACTATGTTGAAAATGCACTATATACCTTGTGGGGGAGGGTATCAGAAGGGAAGAAGTGACACTGTTCAAAAGGAAATGTACTCATTGCCTGACTTACATAACTAAAACCCCTCTGTATATTCCCTTTACAATAAAAAGAAAATATAAAAGAAAATGAACTATACCACTTGTGAGTGGGGATGGGAGGGAAAATTTGGGATAGAGCAAGGAAAGGGGTGACATTATCCAAAAAGAAATGTACTCTTTACCTGACTCAGTTAACGGAATCCCTCTGTATATCACTTTCACAATAACAATAAAAAAGGGGGAAAAAAAGTCTTGAGCACAGTGAAGAGACTAACTACATATGTAGACAAGGACAGTTCTATTTCACACCTTATTATAAAACTGAGGAATGCTAGCTTCTAAAAGAGGGTGGGAGGTGTGGCTCTAATGGAAGAATATTGTCTAGCCAGCACAAGGTTCCAAGTTCAAATCCCAATAGCATCAAAACAGGGAGGGGGAAAGAAGGGAGGAAGACAGGAGGAGGAAAGAGAGGAGGGGGAGGGAGAGGTAGGGAAGGGGAAGGAGAAGAGAGTGAGAGGAAGGAGAAGAGGGGGAAGGAGGAGAAAGAGAATTTTGACTACAAGTTAAATCAGTTATGTTACAAAATGGGTAAATAACCTTTCTGGAGTAAGACAAATAGCTAACAAAGCAGAGTCTAGTCCTCCAAGTTTGGAAATAACTGAAAAGGCCCTGAAGGAAGCTAACTGCAGTACAATGGCTTTCTTCTAACTAAGCTGCTGAAACCTCCCGTGCTCAGAGTTTAGTAAGTTCTGTCACACGGGAGGGTCTTTTAAGTTCATGGGAAAACTTTTTAAATGTCTTCACATAGCCTACTGTATCGGCAAGATATGAGGCGAACATTCAAATTATTCAAAACATACACCCTCAGTTCAGCAGAACTCAAGGATGGTTATCTAACAGGTGTGCTCAGGATCCTGCAAAAAAAAAAAAAAAATGCAGCAGTAGTTATCTTTGGATGGCAAGATGTTCTCTTATCTTTCTTCTTGAGCCATCTGTTTCATTTTTTGTTGTGTTTTGGTTGTTGAGATAGTGTTTTACTATGTAGCCCAGGCTACAAGGAACTTGCAACACTGTTATCTCAGCCTTCTGAGTGGGAGGATCCTATTTCTTTTTCACAATAAATCTAGTTACATCAATTTTGAAACCTCAATGGGAATTTCCTCCCCACAGCCATGAGCCAAAGTGTTTCAAACACTTCTAACCCTAATGACTTGTGCTTGACAGAGAGCCTTACACTGACAGAAACGGATCTGCACTGATCACTTCCAACTACCGACATTCCTGTAATCCCATAGAAAGCCACATCGAAAATTGGATCATCAAGCAAAAGTCAACATAAGAACTAAATATCTACACACTGGACAGGATTATTTCTTTGTCACGCATGATCATCTTCCAGAGAGTATTATCGGTCCTTGAGGGCTTTACCTCAGCATTCCTGGAAGAGGAAGTAGGTAAGCAGAGGCTTAAGCCTCTCAATCCACTGCACCTGCTAAACACAAACATCTCTTCCTAATGAGTTTTTAACTTTTGTTGTTTCTATTAATTTTATTCAAGAATTTAATGATTCAAAGCAAGGTTAGAAAAATGTATTTTCAATACATGTGCTAGGAAGCCTTCGTTTTTCTTAGCCACAAGGTGGCAGAAATCACCATGGAAAATTCTGTCTTAGAAGCAGCTGTGTTTGAGGAATCCTCCACGGAGCTATGAGGAGACAACTTCACTCAGGTTCTTGCTCCTCAGCACCAGTGGCCACTCATTGTCTGAAGAGCAAGGTACTGTAGGATAACAGAGCAGTACCAGAAAATGCACACTGGCTGCTAACTTTGACACTCCCACCACCTTCTAGGTGTGTAAGGCTGTCTTACGGCTAAACCCTCAGCCTAGCATGTGCTAAGTGGGCGTTGTATCACTCAGTTGCATTCCCAAGCCTCATAAAGTGGTTTTGGAGGTATTTATGCCTCCATCTAAGTGCCTCTCAACAGTCTCATGGGCTAAGGAATGATTTCCCCATTAGATGAGGCTGAACCATGACCAAGAACTTAACCAAAATCTAAGGTATCTCCAGAGGGGGGCGACCCCCAACAAATGGACACTGGAACGTATCCTGTAAACCTCCAAGCTCTACCCACACCTTTCCAGATCTACCCCAGTCACATAGACTTCCAAGGAGCAGACGCTACTCAACTAAGAACAAAATAGCCCTTGTGACGAAGATTTGAGCTTGATGTAGCCAGCTAAGGAAAGCATAGAGAAATGACGTCGTGTTGATTCAGGCAGCACGTGGGCATGCAGGCCTGAAGGGCTCTGTGGAGCAAGCCCTAGAGGGATCACCCTTCCTGGGTCACTACTTAGTGGGTGGGAGTGCCAGGATTTCTATATGTACCCATATAGGTGGAGATGTTTCTTTTCAATCTTTGTTTTGTACCTGAAAAAACCTGAAATCTCAAGTTTTTTAAGTCAATATGCCTGACTCCAGGGTCCATATTTTCTCTGAGACTTTATCCAGTGAGACTCAAAATGAATTTCCTTCTCAGAATGATAAATCACACTCCATATCCCTTTTAAAAGTATTGAAAACCTTAACAGATCATTTGATAATTCTGTCACAAACTGAGTTTTTGGTGGGTTTTGTTGTTGTTGTTGTTGTTGTGTTGTTTTGTCAGTTATGGGACTTGAACTCGGGCCCTGGCACTGTCCCTGAGCACTTTTGCTCAAGACTAGGGTTCTATCACTTGAATCTCAGTGCCATTTCCAGTTTCTGATGGTTAATTGGAGATAGTCTCACATACTTTCCTGCCTGGGCTGACTTTGAACCATTATCGTCAGATTTCAGCCTCCTGTGTAGCTAGAATTACAGCCACCAGTACCTGGCTCCAAACTGAGTTTTCTATGCTTTAGAAATACCTTTTATCCTTCTTTAAATGTCCTAATGGAGTTCCAATTCTCTTTGATCTTGGAATTTGTGGCAGTTAGCTGGAGAACAATATTCTTTAAGGCTACTTGACTCAGACAGGAACCAAATTCAGGTGTTCCCTCTCCAAGAGCTCTCTGGCCCCAGGAAGAACGTCATTGCGCACAAGGATGTGGCCTTTGTCAGCTTGTGGCCAAGAATTAGTACTCAGTATAAATAGAACTGAGTAAATGGATATGATTCTCCTAACTCAAGTGCCTAATTTATTTGCCTATGTTACCTACTTACCAAAATCACCCAATTCCTAACACCTTCTTCTCTACCTCCTTGGTATCACTAAGACTCTGCTCAGTCTCTTACAACCACCATTCTCCACATTCAGCTGTTGTCATGTTAAGATCAATCCTTTCTAGGCAGACCCCTCTCTTCTCCTCCCCCCAAGGATTAGTACTTATATTCATTAATGCCTTGGAATTTTTTTAGATTGTTGTTAAGAGGAGCCAGGAGCTACATGCTACATTATCAATTACTTTGTCTCTATTGTTTGCCTTGCCAAAGCTATGTAGGTATGTCTTCAACATGTGTCTCCCATGACTTCGTCAGTTCAAGTAAGCCTTGTTGCCTTCTTCTTGCTAGCCTTGTACAAGCTTTCAGATCCTACCATTTTTTCCATCTTATAAAGACTCAACTTGTCAAGAATCCCAAGAAGATCTTTCGGTGAGCATAAAACATGTAAGAACCATGGAGCCTCTGCTTTTCCCCCAGCATCAGTTCACCTCCCAATCTACTGATGGTTTAAAGCGGGATGATCTTCTTACATGATAGAGATGATGAATTAAACACACCACAATTTCTATAATGTCTAAGACCTCACACATATTCTTCCTTCTGTTTGTAACCTTTGTTCATTAAAACAAAGGACAACCAAAAGAAAATTTAAAAATTGTAAATGTTAAAGTTTTTCAGACTCCCTTCTTTTTTTAATGTCAACCCTAGGGCTTGAACTCAGAGCCTAGGCTCTGACTCTGAGATTTTTATATGCTCAAGGCTAGTGCTCTACCACTTGAGCCACAGCTCCACTTCCAGCTTTTTGGTAGTTAACCGGAAATAAGAGTCTTCTGAACTTTCCTGCCCAGGCCAGCTTTGAACCATGATCATCAGATTTCAGCTTCCTGAGTAGTTAGGATTACAGGTGTGAGCTACAGTTAACAGAAAGGCATATGACTTTCATTCTATTGATAAAGCGCTCATTGGGAGTGTATGAACAAGACCCTCACGCCGTGCTAAAGATATTTAAATGACTTCAAGTCTACAAAGGGTAATCACAAATGTAATTCTACCTCAGGAATTTATCCTGTAGTCACATGCACACAGGTGCCAAAAGTGACATTTGCAAAAGGAATTCCCCACGACCGTGTTCTGACTGGGACAGTCTCAACGTCCAATGAGGGATTAACTAAAACAGTCACTTCACATCTATAGTCTATATTCATATTCTAAGCCACTACCAAAGTATCATTTTCATAAAAGAAAAATAGAAGCACATATTTGTCTTCCACAGGATTACCTGACAGAGCCAAGGTCACTGGGGAACAACACTGGGAAGATTCACACTATGTACATCTTTCGATTTTCACAATTTTGAGCCATGTAGATATGGTTCATTTTAAAATAAAAGTTCCATGTGTCTCCTAAATGGCCACCTTCTTCCTAGGACTCTTTTTCCTTTTGCAGTCCCTCTGTGTGTATACTGCCTTTGGTGACAGGGAAGTTCATTTTACCTTTCCCCATAGGGCTCAGGAAGACGCGTGGGGCCCCTTGGCCATTCCCACAGAAAGGCCTGAGGTCTCCCACAGTCAGCTGCCACTCACTGGGCGCTGTGCTGCTGGGGACTCTGTCATGCTCCTGTGCCCATGTCCCAAACACAGCCACCAAAGGCCAGGTTTGTGGGACCCTCATTCTCTCTCTTTCTCTCACACTGTCTGCCATTCTCTCTTCCTCTCCAATTCATTTGGTCATTTGGAGCCTACAAAATTACCGGAAATTAATCTGTGAAGTTTTATTAATTATGCTGTCTAAGTCTAAAAGCAACATTGGCTCAATGTCTGACAGCTTTTGAATGTTAGTAGTAATCATTAGAGAATTCAGGGAGAAAAGAGAACACTCAACTCCTGTTGGCTTAACACATGATCAACTTACCAGTTTCAAATAGAATAGCAATAATGTGTCACATGTGGGAGGAAAAGGAATTTATGTGGTTTGGAAACAATACCCAGGCTCAGGCCTTTCTGCAAGTAGGCTGTGGTTCAGCTTCATACTACATCAATCTACGAATGATATTGTGGAGCTGCTAAAGAGGGAATAAACCGAGACTGATGCAGATTCTTACTGGACATTCAAATGTGAGACAAAAGGTATATTTGCAGGATCGAACTTTACCAAATGAAGTTTTTTAGAAATTCACAAAATGTAAGTTACTGTATTTCATCGGCTGAATAACAGGTACGATTCAAACTGCTTACTGTCTAGCTTGGTCCTTGCTGGAATACGTTACATTTACAACGGCAGTTTCGGAATCAGTGTTCACTGGAGAAAGAGAAAAACAAAGAGAATCAAAGTTAGTCTTCTTTCTGCTTCCTTCCTTCCTCTTACAAAATTGAAAGCAATTCAGAAGACTTGTACCTTGCTCACAGCTCTCCACCACTCCATACTGGACTAGTAAACTATCCAGCACCTAGCAGGAGGGGGAGAGAAAATTGTAAATTTTGAGTTTCCCAAGTTATTAAGCCAGGGCAAGAATATACTTTAATGAAGAACAGTTGATGGAAAAGAATCAAAAGAAAGAAGTTAGCAGGAACTTTGTACCTTATCACTAAGGGAGAGACATTACCACCAAGAGCACTTGGGACGCTGACTTCTCTTTTGTCCACCCCTTAGCCTTCTGTTTTAGTTTGAGATAGTACTGAGGATTGAACCCAGGCCCTCGTGCATGCTAGCTAGGCAACACTCCACCACAGACCTGTAGCCCCAGCCCATGATTTATATAGAGACACAGTCTCACCCAAAGCCTGACTGGCTTTGACTGAATTCAAGATATTCCTGCCTCAGCCTCATGTGCTAGAATTATAGCACGGTGGGAGGAAGCACCAGCTGGCTTTCTGATCTCCAACATGAACCCCATTTCCTAAGGCTAGTCAAGAAGAAGTATTAGCAGCTTCACACAGTGTTCAGAGACACAGCGAACAGGCTCCGGAGGCTGAGGGAGAAAGGAGTACTCATTTCTCACACGCTGAGCATGCCATCTCATTTCCTCTTTGGGCACACAGTCACGAGATGGGACCAAGTTAAGAAACAATCTGTAAGGTCTTCTTTCCAAAGAACTTCCTTGTATAGCCCTACTGCGTATAACAGAACACACTTGCAAAACGAAGAAAGCATACTTGATATTCTTCTTGGAGTCTTGAAGACTAACACAGACAAACATGTAGAATAAAAAGTGTAAAGTGAAGTCAACATTCCTGAATCTACATTTGGTTGAAAATGTACATTTGAAGCTCTGTTTTCAATATAGTTCGTGTGTCTAAGAAGAGGCTATTAAAACTGTAACTGTACATTGATCATATTATGAGCTGTAGGTTTGTGTCAGCTGCTGTTAGCTTCTGAAAACTAACAAATTTCTTTCTGGAAAAGTGGAAGTTTCTATAAAATTTCCATGGGAACTTATTAATTTAATCATTCATTAACTTAATTGCAAAATTTAGAGCAGTTCCTTGAAAATATTTTCTGGCCCAGGATAAAACAAACTTTAAAAAAAGAAAAACAAAACATGTTAAACCCAGCATCGTGGTACATGCTTATAATCCTAGCTACTCAGGAGGCAAAAGCAGGAAGATTGGGAATTCAAGGCCAGCCTGCGCAGTCTGAGATCCAACATCAAAGACAAGTTTTAAAAAGGTAGGAGAGGAGATGAGGGCATGGCTCAGGTGGGTAGACTACTTGCCCAACAAGATCAAGGCCCCAGGTCTGATACCCTTACTGCAAAAAAGAAACATGCTCAATTTTTATGGTGAGCTCCTACTTAAGCACCTTCTAAGTCTAAAGGAAGCTTTATCTTATGTGGTATATTTTAGGCCTTTATTTCATTGACTGTGAACTCTGTAACAGGGTTTCTCTGTAGGATGCATTTTTCTTCTTTGGAGTAAGGCTGATACCTACTTGTGCATAGACTGCCCTTTCATGAAGGCTTTCACTCAGTGAATTTCCTCTGAGTACACTACTAGAAGCACATTAACCTTTGCCTCTAATTATACCTCCCATCAAAAAGCTTAATGTTCACATTTTTCTTCTAAGCACTTAAAGGCACCACATACTACTTCATACATCTGTTTCAGACACTAACACATGCACTCCACCAGAAAAGGTTGCCACAAAGAAGGTGTTTTGGTTATTCCTCATTTCAACAAGATCGGGGTAACTCACTTTGTAGAGCAGCAATGTAGAGAAGGTGGAACTTCCTTTAAATATGGTGACATACATTTTATAGAAACAGGAAGCACTTGACAAATATGGATACAATCATCCTGGTAACTTTGTTCTTTTCTATCTGAGAGAAGACTGTGACCAAAGAACAATCCTATAAGGCCCCAATCATTTTTTTTTTTTTTTTTTTGTCGGTCGTGGGGCTTGAACTCTGGGCCTGGGCGCTGTCCCTCAGCTCTTCAGCTCAAGGCGAGCGCTCTACCACTTGAGCTACAGCGCCACTTCCGGTTTTCTGGTGGTTTATTGGAGATAGGAGTCTCACGGTCTCTCCTGCCCGGGCTGGCTTTGAACCGCGATCCTCAGATCTCAGCCTCCTGAGTAGCTAGGATTACAGGCGTGAGCCACCAGCGCCCAGCAGGCCCCAATAATTTATAGCAAATACTGGCACCAAATTCAAACACAAATAAAAAGTATCACCTTGTTCCCAGCATAATAATCATTCAGAAAAACTCAGACCCTTACAACAAAGCTAAGAAGACCCTCACCTGTGGTGACCTCATAAAACCTTCACTCATACCGGTCGCATAGGTCCAGCCACACAGAGGGAAGCCTCACAGCTTTCTGGAAACCCTCAATTCTCACAAGTTAGATCCTCTAACAAAGGGAGGGAGATGGTAGTTTAACACTCCACGTAGTAACATGATCGGAGACAAGCTAGAGTCACCATGCCCTCTGCTGCCGCTGAAGTCACAGTGGAAGAGCATCTGAGCATAAGAGGCTTCCATATTTCTAGTGGGCAGTCAGTGCTGCGCCGATCAAGCCACAGCCCTCTCTGATTCCAAAGTGTTTCTCTTTTACGTTTAGAATAGGACTCCAAGTCCGTAACAAATGCCTGCAGGGGTAGGACCTACTCATCTCCTCTCTGACAGCACCATCTTTGGGTCGTTAATATGGCTGGTAACATTTTGAGTTATCAACTTTAAGCTACACAATCCCATGAGGTAACATGATCAGCCTGTCTAGACAGACACAGTCCAGCACAGGAAGGTTCATAGCGTTAGAGCTGGGTCTGCAGAGAAGTGATTTGAATCGCAGCTGTCAGATGCTATCACAGCCCATAGTCTTAACCGTGGTCTATAAATCTGTTTCATCTCACCCTGTAACTTAAATAAAATAATATAAACATACAGACTGAAAAACAGGTTGTTTCTTATTTTGCTAGCACCCAAATGGAAACCAAAACTGTCCCCTGCCTCTGTTCCCAGAGCTAATAAGCTCAAGCTCCAAGTACCACACCGGACATTTCAATATATCTCAGTCAGAAGAAGGTATTAACATTAGTCTGTGATGCATGTATAAAAGCTACAATGTCAGGATTTTTTAAACCACCTGCTTCCAAAACAGGTGGAGGTGCTCTCACCTATAAAAAGGAAATCAGTTTAGCTTGGTTGGTCTCTTCAGATTCTTTTTAGAAGTATGGTTGTCCCATAAAGACATTAGGAAAGTGCAAATGAAAACTATAAGGCTGTTATCACTCACTAGCTAGCCAGGGCATGGAATGCTCATGATCATCATCAGCCTGTAATCCTTCACTGAGGAGAACTGAGGCAGGAGGATCCTTAGAGTAAAGTCAGCCTGGGCTCCACAGTGAGACTGTCTCACATACAAACAGAGAATGCTAGAATTGCATCGCCCTTTCAGAACTTGGTAACTTATTTCTTCAGTAAACAGGCAAAGGTCAGCATTCCAAATGGCTACTTATCACCCGAGGAAAAGAGAAAGGCAACAGGCAGGTCAAAAATCTAATTCTGAATAAAGTCACTGATGAAGAAGTAGCTTTTCTAAATGAGGTGGAAAACAGCCCAAACCACAGAGACCTCTAGAAGCAGCAGTGACCATCCCAGCTGCATTTGACTCACTAGCCCTATGCAATACTTTTGTTGTTGTTTTGGCTGGTGGTACTGGGGTTTGAGCTCGGTGCCCCACCCTTGTTAGTCAGGCACTCTACCAGGTGAGCCTACACTAGTCCCCTAATTAACACTTTTTAAAAGAAATGGTGAAAGTGCTAAGAAGGGAAAGAGATGGTTTTAAAGTCAATACTGGTAGAGCGTTTCTCACAAGGATTCATCCTTCAGATGTGCATTAGTTGTTTTAGCCCCTCAAGACTATCACAGAACACCTGGAACTTTTAATGAAGGGAATATAGAAAAGTCAAGGTTCTCCCATTCATGTCTGAGCTGAATTAGCAATACAGGGTCTTATTATCACATTTAATGGGTTTAGTTTGTGAAAATTCATAATTTGGTTAAAACAGATCAATAGTTTTGAAAAAAAATGACAATAGCTCCTATTGCAAATGGGTAAGGGACACCAACTGGCCCAAGTGATCCTGTCTATTCACTCTGAGTGCCGTGTGCCGTACTAATCAGATGGCACTAGAAAGCCTTGTACGTTGCTGGTAGAAAAATACTTCAGGTCTGGGAAGGTGGCTTAGTGGTAGAGTGCTTGCTTAGCATGCATGGGTTCAATTCCTCTGTACCACATAAACAGTAAAAGCTAGAAGGGATGCTGTGGCTCAAGTGGTAGAATGCAAGCCTTGAGCAAAAGAAGCTCAGGAACAGTGATTTAGACCCTGAGTTCAAGCCCCATGACTGGCAAAAAAAAAAAAAAAAAAGGAAAATACTTCTAACAATTTGACAATTGAAAAGGAAAAAGAAGCCAGCCAAGTACAGTAGTTCATACCTGCAATCCCAGCACTCAGAAGGCTGAGGCAGAAGAGCTTAGGTTTGATGACAACCTAGAATATACCATGAGACCCAACCTCATAATTAACTGAAATGAAACGTAAGTAACTTTTGATACACTAACTTAATTTCTGTTTAATAATGCCTAAAGAATGTCAGAAAATGTATGCACAGGTATGTTTACAGGTATGTTTATGTTGCCATATTAATTGAACTGAAACTGAAAATTATTTACATAGCAATGAATAATGATTAAAGAAATTAGTAAATATCTAATAAAACAGAATAGACCACCATTATAAATACTGAAGGAGTCTAATTACATTAAAAATCTTTGAAACTTTTGTGCTTCAAAGTATGTTATTAAAAATTGAAAAGACGGGGGCTGGGAAGGTGGCTCAGTGGTAGAGTGCTTGCCTTGCATGCATGAGGCCCTGGGTTCGATTCCTCAGCACCACATAAACAGAAAAACAGCGCCAGAAGTAGCGCTGTGGCTCAAGTGGTAGAGCAC